TTTACCTTTCTGAGCCCCAGTTTCTCCCTCTTAAAATGAGAATAGTAATTTCTACCTCAGAGTGTTTTAAGAATTAACTAAGATTGTGTATTCTTTGTGAATGGTGTAGTAGATTGCATATTCTTGGTAGACCATTTACATGTAGACAGACTATGGTGCTGGGTGGCTAGGAAGAAAGCTTCCCTGAAGTTTGTTCATGTGCTGGCCATCAGCCATTTTCTTCTAAAAATGGGTACCAGTAGGATGTGGTCTTTGAAAAAGCCCTGTTAGAGACAACATGGCAGTCACAGGCTCAGGAGTGCTGCCCAGCCTGACAGCCAAGTGAGCCTGTGATGCGGTAATTGATAGCTCAGACGCAATTCAGCAACTCAATTAACTCATGTCCCATTAGGATGGATTGATTTATTCCTTGGGATAGGAATTTGTGCTGATGCAGCAACAGCAGCCTTCCCACTGCCGAATGCATCTGTGTGGTTAAGAAAGCTTTTCCAGTGCTTCTGCTCCCCAGAGGTCTCAGGGGAAGAAGGCATGATTAGGGGAGACCAGTGTTCAGTCCTACACACAACAAGTCCCCCTCCCCCGAGGAAGATGAAGGACTGAAGGTCCATCATTATTTTTTTTATATATATATGTATATATTAATTAGATAGAGGCGCACTCTGTTGCCCAGGCTAGAGGTACAGTGGCACAATTTTGGCTCACTGCAATCTCTGCCTCCCAGGTTCAAGTGATTCTTGTGCCTCAGCCTCTCGAGTAGCTGTGATCACAGGTGCACACCACCATACCCTGCTAATTTTTGTATTTTTAGTAGAGACAAAGTTTTGCCATGTTGGCCAAACTGGTCTTGAACTCCTGGCCTCAAGTGACTTGAGTGCCTCGGCCTCCCAAAGTGCTGGGACTATGGACATGAGCCACCGTGCCTGGCCTACCATCATTTTGAAAATGAATTTTGGGCCGGGCCCGGTGGCTCACGCCTGTAATCCCAGCACTTTGGGAGGCCGAGGCAGGCAGATCATCTGGGGTCAGGAGTTGGAGACCAGCCTGAGCAACAAGGAGAAACTCTGTCTCTACTAAAAATACAAAATTAGCTGGGAGTAGTGGCGCATGCCTGTAATAGCAGCTACTTGGGAGGCTGAGGCAGGAGAATCACTTGAACCTGGGAGGCAGAGGTTGAGGTGAGCCAAGATCACGCCGTTGCACTCCAGTCTGGGCAACAAGAGCGAAACTCCATCTCTAAATAGTGCCTGACTACATTGGGATAAATGGTATTCCTCCTGGAATTCATGTGGACCTGGTACCTCAGCATGTTACTTCATTTGGAATCACCATTCATGATGATTCTGCCATCATAAATCTTACTTCTGAGGTCAGGAAAGGATAAGGAACCCTTGACAGCCATCTGGTACATGCCAGGTCTACTGTCTGTAGGAACGTGTGTGCATTAAAAAGTCCAGTGAGCTGTGAGTATGTAACAGAATTATCAAGCGGTCCTATATTAATCTTTTGTATTTCTAAAACACTTTTAAAAGCACTACCAAATCTGTGATCTTATTTTATTTGCATGTATGCTTTTAAAAAAATTATCCTGAGCTCTCATTGTGTAGATGGGGAAACTGAGGCCCTAATAGGATCTCATAATACAGTCAGGATTATAAGTCCTCCGAAGTGCTATCTAGCCACCTCTCTGGATGGCATCTACAGTAAGAATGGGGAGAATTTTCAGAACCTAGCTATGGCCTGTGCTAAACATGTCTATGCCTCACCTCTAGGCAATCTTGGGGACAGTCTTCCTTTAGTCCTGTGTGTTAGGCGGAAGCTTTCACAGGGTGTCACTTGATAGCCACAGGTGCCAAGCAGAGCTGTGCAATGCCCCAGGCCTAGCATTGTGTAAATGAAGCATCCCCATTGGCCCATCTCCACAGCTGGCCACTGGGCTCCATGTTTACCAAACACTGCTGATGCCTCACTCCAAACACAGCTGAAGTCCAGGAGTGCTTTCTGTGTCCAAAGCCCACTCCCCTCATCCTGCTCCCTGAACCCACTGAGGAGCAGGTGTTGGCCTGTCCCCTGGCATCTGTGCCTGAGCCGCAGTAATGAGAGTTCTGAGGGCTTCCAGCAGGATGGGTCCATCTGGAAGTTCTGGGAAAGTACCTGGCTGTATTGAGCTAAATAGTGTTCCCCCGCAAATTCATGTATACATGGCACCTCAGAATGTGACTTCATTTGGGAATAGGTTATTTACAGATGTAACTTGTCAGGTATCTTGAGAGGAAATCCTGGATTTGGGATAGCCTTTAAATCCAATGACTGGTGCCCTTAGAAGAAGAGGAGAGGACAGAGGGAAGAAGGCTCTGTGAAAATGGATGCTGCCATAAGCCAAGGGATCCTAGGAGCCACCAGAAGCTGGAAGAGGTAAGGAAGGGTTCCTGCCAACACCTTGATTTCAGACTTCTGGCCTCCAGAACTAAGAATATATGTCTATTGTTTTAATCCACTAAGTTTGGTAAGTTGTTATGGCAGCCACAGGACACATACTGGCTGCCTAGCAGGAAGTGGAGCTGTGGGGCTGGTCCAGGAGCCAGGCTGCCAGGGGTCCTCTCCTGCCTTCACCTCTCTTGCCTGCAGGGCCTGGGAGAACACTGTGGAAAGCTAGGCTAAGGCGCAAGGAAGGCCAGGGCTTGACTTCCCTGTTGTCACTCTAATCTTGGTGGAGAAAGACTTCCGTGCCCTCTCACCATTATTATTACTACCTTTTTTTAGTTTCTGTGCTATGCTAGGCACCATGCAAGTCTTTACATCATTTCACTCCCTCCTTGTAAGGACACTGTTCAGTAAGTTGCTCTATCCCTAGTTTTTTATTTGAGGTTCATTAACTTGCTCAAGGTTCCACAGCTGGCAAGTGGCAGAACCAGAATTTGAACTCATCCCACTTAAGAGCCTGCACATGTATCACTATGCTACAGTGACTTCCCCATGCCATATTAATAATTATGGTAGCTAACGGTTGATATAGCAAGAAGAGAGCCTGTAACCATCCCCAGGGGCTTCCTGCAGCCTCCTTCCTGTTCCTACCACTGTCTGCCTGCCTCTTCCCTATGCGGCAGCCACGTCATATGATCCCCGTTCCCTGGATGGCCTGTAAGGTTACACATCAGGTGGTCTTCCTCTGGTAGCTGGTCCCTGTCCCTTGCCATCTGACAAACTCTTGCTCAGCCCATGTGGCCCAGTTTAAATGTGCTCTGTGCATTCTATCATCCAGTGCTTACCACATGGATCATAAGTCCCACTGGTGTATGTGTGTGTGTGTGTGTGTGTGTGTGTGTGTGTGTGTGTGTGTGTGT